AACACTTTTAAAAATCCGGTTTTCCCCCTATGTCTCATATCTTAGAATATGATAGACTTACATAAAAACCAGACATATCGTCAGATTGGCTAAGAGAAGACGAACAATTTGATAGGTCACTCGCCTTGTCTCGAATACATAGGACAGCCGAAAAATAGATCTCGTGAACCATTCAGTGTATAATTTCATAATTCATATCTAATCAATCCTGAGATGTGTCTGCATAAAAATCTACCCGCGGGTGGAATGTCACTTGTGCATAGGAAACGTTATGAGCCAAAATATGAACTTCGCGAGATTTTGGCTCTAGTTTAGGTCCACACCCAGACCTCCACGCCCTAAACGGGGTATTGGTCCTTGACTTCAGAGACAACCCCTGCTGGGGAACTACAAATAAGGCTGTCAAGCCTAAGAAAAGTAAAGTTGAAGACGTCTCCCATTTTAACATCAATACCACCTGGGGAGACCCGTGCCCTTTTACTCTGAAACTTGGATCTGCTAACCCAGGACTTTGGTAAGTACCTTAACCCTTTCACCTCTCTCTCTGATATCTCTTTGCTGTGCTGTTAGTCTCTGTATATTTTTATATATATATCTTAGTTACATCTTTTTCTGTAAATATGGTTATTTCCCCCTTTTGACCTTTTAGTAATAAATCTTTCCTTCTGCAAGTGTTGAACTGTTTCTATAGCGCTTTATTGCAATTTACGAATTACCTGCCTCTAAAGAGAACGCTACTGTGTTTGTTTAACCCTCTGTATAACCGTGTTATACAGATGATTACCTCAACCATTTTAGTGTTATAACTGATATCGCAGAGTTTCCTCTTTCTCTGTACAAAAAGGAGGTGGTGGCAGTGTGAAGGGTTAATTGCGTAATTAACCTGACTCAGTAACAATCGCTCAGGCTGCCGGTACATTGATTGTGGTCCAATTAGCTGGAAAATCATTGTGCAAGGTGCAGCTGGGTGTGGCATTGTTACGCACGTGACATTGCGGTTTTAGATCGGCTAGTCCTTCGATCACGAGTTTGGTGAGAAGGGCCGCGATCGTGACACCTTCCTCCCTTTTCCAAGGCAGCATAGAGGCATGTTTGGTGAGGACCAGGCCGCAAGATGCTTCTCGTGGGTATGCTAAGGACGACTGGCTAGATTGTGTGGCACGCCCCTGTATGGTGTGAGCGGGGTGGCCATGGTGAAGTCCGTCACTGGTTTTTCAAGTGAAAGACCATGGTGCAGGACCGGAAGTTGGGGTTGCAGTCCAAGCCTCAACTCCTAATACAACATCTGGCAGGGGCTGGACTTCTGGATCCAGTGAGGAGCCTCAGGAGTTACTCCTGGAAGTGGGGACCCAGGAGCCTGGTTAAGGCAGCGCAGTCCTCAATGGCTCTGCAAGATGGAAGTAGTCTGGAGGGAAGTGTGGGTTAAAACCTGGGAGGACGATCAAATGTCAAGAACTCGCCTCTGTAGTTTACCCTTTCAGGGTTCCTTTTTAATTGGCCCAGGGCTGGACCAGGTGTCTAGGTCCACCAAAAAGGGGAAGAAGTTCCCTACCAAGGCCAAAAGGATAAGGGGAAGAAGATTTTTTATGCCCCCCTTAATCAGGACCAACAAAGGTTTAGGAAAGACTCCCCTAAAAAATGAGCCAATAAAGGGAGACAAAAAGGAAGTTTCCCTTTTTTTCTGGTTCCAAACCCACCAGTAAGGACCCCAAATGACATAGACTTCAGGGTGGGCAGAAGGCTGTCCAGATTCCTTCAGCAGTGGGGGAAGATTACAGAAAGCCTGTACTTCCTGCAGTTGATAAGGAAGGAGTACCAATTGGAATTCTCCTCTCTCCCCCCTTATACCTTTATGCTGACTGATCCCCCCAGAGACGGGACAAATGCAGAGGGTCTCTTGGGAGGGATAAGGGATTTAGAAGAACAGGAGGTAATCGTCTCCTTGCCAGTGGACCAACTGTTTCAGGGATTTTATTCCCATGTGTTCATTGTCCCGAAGCCTTCAGGGGAATTCTGCTTGATCATAAATTTGAGAAGGTTGAATGGTTTCCTACAGTACAAGAAGTTCCATATGTAAAGTATCTACAGTGTACAGAAGCATCTGCTCAAAGGAGTCTTTATGGTCACTGTGAATCTCAGGGATGCCTAGTTTCACATTCCCATCACCCCAGAGTACCAAGCCTTCTTACACTTTGCCATCTTCATGGAGCAGGACATCAGTCCCTGGAAGTTCCGAGCTCTTCCTTTCAGACTAGCGGTTAGTCTGAGAATATTTACCAAGGTCCTGGCTGAAGTAGAAGCCTTTATACACCTTCATGGAATTTCCCTCATTCCATACCTAGATGATCTAATGATCTATGGAGTCTCATAGCACCAAGTCCTGAGAGACCTGGAAAAGATGTTCCTCACCTTGGAATCTTTGGGGTGGATCATCCTCATTGACTCCCTCCCACACCAATGTATTCTTGGGGTACATAGTGGACTCCAGAGTCCAGAAACTATTTTTATCCCAAGTGAAGACTGAAAAGGTAGTGAGGGCAGTCTCTGCTCTGATAGTGGTTTCAGATTGCTCCCGCAGGCACATCATGAGAGTGCTAGGTCTCATGACAGCCTGCATTCTGGCTGTGCAGTGGGCGCAATTACATTCCAGGGAGTTTCAATTCTTCCTTCTATCCTCCTGGGACAGGAAAGAGGAGTCACTGGACGAGAGGGTTTCCCTCACAGAGAGTATAAAGACCCCTCTAGGATGGGGGCTTAGGCCCTAGAATTTGGGAGCAGGGAGACCGTGGGTGCAGTGGTAACCACGGATGCCAGCAAATGGAGCTGGGTGGCTCATCTAGGGGACCAACAACCCAAGGCCCATGGGAGGCATGCAAAAAGGGGACCTCTCAGTAAGTCAGGCCCTGAAGGCCTTTGCAGACTGGATCAAAGGAATAGAAGTCCAAATTCTGTGAGACAATATGTCAACATTGGTATACCTGAATCGTCAGGGGGGCACCAGATCCCAGAATCTCCTGGATCTAGCTAAGGAGATTCTAGGATGGACAGAAAGCAGAGTGCTTTTGGTGTCGGTGGTCCACATAAAGGAGTCAGTCAGTCACGAAAGCAGACTTTCTCAGCTGACAGTGCACCAGGGAGAGCAGGAACTCATTTGAGGTCTTTTTTCAGATAATTCAGTCTTTGACTGCCGAAGATAGACCTTTTTGCCTGCAGGAGAAACAGGAAGGTGAAACAGTATTTCTCCTTGGCTCAGTAACAGGGATCTGAAGACGTGGACGTGTTAGCACAGGAATGGGATTTCGAGTTGGCATATGTTTTTCCCCCTCTGCCACTGATCCTGTGGGTACTCCAGAAGCTGGCTTGATCAGGCTGCAGACTGATCTTGCTGGCCCCATGGTGGCCAAGAAGAGCCTGGTTCGCCACTTTGAAGAGGTGGGCTGTGGCTCCCCTGCAGTGTCTCCCAGTCAGGTGCGATCTTCTCTTACAGGGACCAACTCAACACCCCAATCCAGAGTTTTTTAGCTAACAGCTTGACTCTTGAAAAGGAGATCCTTAGAAAATGGGGGCATTCGGAGAGAGTGATAGACACTCTTCTCCTCGGTAGAAAACCAGTCAACCAGAAAAAAATATACACCAAGGTGTGGAGGGTGTTTTCCACTTAGTATCAGAAAAAAGGGGGTTCCAATGATCCTAGATTTTCTCCAAGCAGGGGTGGATAAAGGTATAGCAGTAAGTACCCTAAAGGTGCAGATGGCGGCCCTGTCGGTCTTTTTGGATCAAAGGCCCATGTCATATCCCCTGTTTAAAAGATTTCTGGGGGCCAGGGAGAGAGTGACCCCAGGTAAGTTACATATTTTACAGCTTGGGATCTGACCTTAGTGTTAGAGGATTTGACCAAGCCACCACTTGAGCAAGTGGCACAGATTTTGGTTAAAATGTTATCTTTTAAGTTAGCCTTCCTGTTAGCCATCACAACAGCAAAAAGAATAGGTGACTTGCATAGCCTGTTAATCAAGGAACCCTTCCTGGTGGTATTAGAGGACAGGGTTGTACTTAGAAAGGACCCTCTTTATTTGCCAAAAGTGGTCTCATGGTTTCATAGGACACAGGAGATTGTCCTGTCGTCTTTCTGTCAAAACTCTAGGAATGAAGGGGAAAAGAGTTTTCATTTTTTAGATGTCAAGCAGTGTTTACTGACATATTTGAATAGCGTAAGTAACTAAAGGAAGTCAAACCACCTTCTAATTTTATTTAATGGTCCAAGGAAGGGACAGCAGGCATCTAAGCCAACAATAGCGACCTCTTGGATGCAGAGGGCCAGAGCATCGATTGAGCAGATCTGCCGAGCAGCCACATGGACAAGCCAGGACACCTTCATGAGACACTACAGGGTAGAGGAGTTGTCACCTCATGACCTGGCGTTTGGCAGGAACATATTACAGCCACTAGTCCCGTCCTAAGATAGGCCTGAGTTCCCTGGTTATCGTCTCAGTTGTGCCATCCTGGAAGGTGACTAGAAAAAGTACCAGTTACAATTACTGGTAGCAGTATTTCTGGGAAATCTTCCAGAATGGCAGGCCTACTTCACACTCGTGTCTGGTGTTGAGTATTTTAAGACAAATTGCCTTTTGTGCACCAGGGTATGGGAATACTCTTATGTGATTGAGGAGTGGAGGGAAGGGTGGGGAATTGAAACTCTGTCAATTGTTGATTGTGTTTCCAGTTAGGTGGAGAAAGTCATCTCTCAGGTGTTCCATCCTGGAAGATTTTCCAGAGATACCGTTACCAGTAAGTGTAACTGGTACTTTTTTATTAGCTACTAGCATTTTCAGCACTGTGATAAAGGCAGATAGCTCCCTTTAATAATAATGGAGTGCTACATTATCTATGCTCTTGCTATAGAGTTATAATGCTGTTTTACTGTATATCGTAATGCAATCATTAATGAAGGATAAATGGAAGATAGTGCTCACTAGGGAGCGCGCAGCATGGTGATCGGCGGTGCGCTGTGTCCCTCGGACACAGCGGATCACCGATCACGGAAAGAGCCGAAGATGTTGGCTCGGTCATGTGATCAGCTGTGTCCAATCACAGCTGATCACATGTAAACAGGGAAATGCCGGTTATCGGCATTTCTCTCCTCTCGAGCTGTCATGCTGACAGCTCGAGAGGAAAGCCAGTAATTGGCTTTCCGCGGAGGGGACATGTACACTGATCATCAGGGCACTTATGATCAGTGTGCCCTGATGATCAGTGTAGCTCCAGCAGTGCCACCTGTCAGTGTCCAGCAGTGCCTTGTGTCAGTGCTCATCAGTGCCTCGTGCCAGTGCCCATCAGTGCTACATCAATGCCACATATCAGTGCCTACCAGTGCACATCAATGCCACATATCAATGCCCATCTGAGTTGCCTTTCAGTGTCACCCATCAGTGCCACCTATCAGTGCTGCCAATCAGTGCCGCCTATCAGTGCCATGTATCAGTGCTGCCTTTCAGTGCCCATCAGTGATGCCTGTCAATGCCCATCAGTGCCTCCTCATCAGTGCCCATCAGTGCCACCTATCAGTGTCCATCAGTGCAGCCTATCAGTGCCCATCACTGCAGCCTTATTAGTGCACATCAGTGAAGGAGAAAAATCACTTATTTACAAAATTTTATAACAAAAACTAAGAAACTTTTTTTTTCAAAATTTTCAGTGGTTTTTGGTTTAAGAAAAAAATAGAAAAACCCAGAGGTGATTAATTACCACCAAAATAAAGCTCTATCTGTCACAAAAAAATTATAAATTTTTTTATATGGGTACAGTGTTGCATGATCGCGCAATTGTTATTCAAAGTGCAATAGCGCTGAAAGCTGGAAATTGGCCTAGGCCGGAAGGGGGTATAAGTCCCCTGTAGGCTAGTGGTTAAACAAGCTGCTAGCAGGCTTCATCACTTCTTCACGCTTGTTGACAGCCTACTTAAACCTGCTAGGAGATAAAGTGGCAATTAACACTCCCGTTAGGATCTGTGTTCAACATTTACAAACTGGAGTTGAATGGTACTTTAAAAGCTTCAACAAAGCTTGCTGAAAGCTCTGTAAATGCTTTGTCAAGGCATACTATTTACACTGCTCTTATACAAGCTGAACCCTGTGTGAAACAGGCCTTAGACCTGCATCCATGCATCTGAACAAATGCATCAAATCATATCAAAGTCAATGGAACGTTGCTAAACTGTATTTAGTGGGCATTTCAGATACATATCAAACACAGGAAAACAATTCTTGTCTTCAAAAGTCCTTACTCACTTTACACTTGTATCATTGCCCTCCAGAGGATTTACCCCCCCTCCTGACCAGACCATTTTTTGCGATACGACGCTGCATTATTTTAACTGACAATTGCGCGGTCTTGCAACGCTGCACCCAAATGAAATTTGTGTCCTTTTTTTCATACGAACAGAGCTTTCTTTCAGTGGTATTTGATCGTGCGTTTTTTATTTTTTGTGCTATAAATACAATAAGACAGACAATTTTGAGAAAAGAACAATAATTTTGACTTTTTGCTATTTAATAAAAGAAACAATCAAATGCCCACTCACATGTAATGAATATCATATAAGCGTTAAAACTATATGCTGTGAGTGTGCTTGCATGGGTTTGTATTGGAGTCCCAAGATGGCGTCCACACCGGAAATTACGTCACCACTTCCTACGCGTTACATCACGCTAACATGTGACTTCCTCAGGGTGATTGTTTCTTTTATTAAATCCATAACATTACTACACTATGGGAGCATTTTATTTTACATTCCTTCCAGCTGTATGAGTTTTTTGTTCCTATACTTACTACTCTGGAGAGGGTTCTCCTGCTGTGTTGATATCCACCAATGAGGGGGATTGACCCATCTGCTGACCTGATATCTGATTATTCAACCCCCAATGCTGTAAAGGGGTTTAGGGACTATAGTGTACATTTGGAATTGTATTCAGAATCAAATCCTACAAGGACGTGTTGTAACTACCCAAATGCAACTAAAATGACATCAATTGTTTATGTAATACAGTAGTAAATGGTTCTTATGTGGTTTCTTCATTGCCACAATTATTCAACCCCTTAAAGACTACCACTCTGAAGAACAGAGGTTCATACAGGTGCTTTCCATCAGGTATTGAAAACACCTGTGGATGTCACCGAGCAGCAATCAAGCATAATAAGCACCAATTAGGCAGCTTTAAAATGACTGTGATACTCAGCTCCTTCTAGACATTTACTGGTGTGGTTACAAAACATGGTGAAGGCAAGAGAATGGTCCAGGAAGACAAGAGAAGAGGTGATTTCTCTTCACAGGAAGGGCAATGGCTATAAGAAGATTGCAAAGATGTTAAACATACCAAGAGACACCTTAGGAAGCATCATTCGCAAATTCAAGGCAAAGGGCACTGTTGAAACGCTACCTGGTCGTGGCAGAAAGAAAGATGCTGACTTCGACTGCTGTGCGCTACCTGAAGCGTAGAGTGGAGAGAAGTCCCCGTGTGACTGCTGAGGAACTGAGAAAAGATTTGTCAGATGTGGGTACAGAAGTTTCAGCCCAGACAATAAGACGCACACTGCGTAATGAAGGCCTCCGTGCCAGAACTCCCAGGCGTACCCCCTTGCTGTCTCCAAAGAATAAGAAGAGTCGACTGCAGTATGCCAAAAGCCATGTGGACAAACCACAAAAGTTGTGGGATAGTGTTCTGTGGACTGATGAAACAAAATTAGAACTGTTTGGGCCCATGGATCAACGCTATGTTTGGAGGAGGAAGAACAAGGCCTATGATGAAAAGAAACACCTTGCCTACTGTGAAGCATGGTGGAGGGTCAATCATGCTTTGGGGCTGTTTTGCTTCTGCAGGTACAGGGAAGCTTCAGCGTGTGCAAGGTACCATGAATTCTCTTCAGTACCAGGAGATATTGGATGGAAACGTGATGCAGTCCGTCACACACTGAGGCTTGGGAGACGTTGGACCTTTCAACAGGACAATGATCCCAAGCATACCTCCAAGTCCACTAGAGCATGGTTGCAGAGGAAAGGCTGGAACATTTTGGAGTGGCCATCGCAGTCACCAGACTTAAATCCGATTTGAGAACCTCTGGTGGGACTTAAAGAAAGCAGTTGCAGTGCGCAAGCCTAAGAATGTGACTGAACTGGAGGCCTTTGCCCATGAAGAATGGGCGAAGATACCCGTAGATCGCTGCAAGACACTTGTGTCAAGCTATGCTTCACGTTTAAAAAGCTGTTATAACTGTAAAAGGATGCTGTACTAAGTACTAAGATTGAATGTCACTTGGGGGTTGAATAAAACTGATAATGCTGTGAGCACAGAAAAGACATTTGTGGTTATTTCATTATAACTGTTATGTTATATTTGTCTGACCTACAAGTGCCTCTTTAATGTAAATGTAAGCAAGATGACTGAATGATCAAAAGCAATGTCAAAATGGCCAAAAAACACTCAATTTCAGTGGGGGTATTGAATAATTTTATGTCACTTATACACCATCTATTTTACATACCCCTGATTTAGTGGTCACTGTTTTGTGATTTCACGTTCATTTATTTTTTCACAAATCTCACTTGAATCCGTAAGTTTCAGCGGCTTTCAGTAATAGATGTGTGTTGCAGAAATTACTTTGCAGTTTATTTTATTTTTCCAAACCAGTTTCTACTGTTTATTCATTTATTTAGATTTAATTTTTTTACTTCCACCTATCCTTTATTATGTTTACTGTGAACACTTATATTTTGGGAGCATTTCCTGTAGTAACTAATCAGTTTCAGGATATTATTTGTATTGTATTTGCATCACAGAGTTTTGGGATCCTCAATAGGATCATATCACAGTTTTTTTTGGGCACAATTCAAAAAGAAGTAATATATATTCATATACAGGTGAAACTCGAAAAATTAGAATATCGTGCAAAAGTTAATTTATTTCAGTAATGCAACTTAAAAGGTGAAACTAATATACGAGATAGACTCATGACATGCAAAGCAAGATAGTTCAAGCCGTGATTTGTCATAATTGTGATGATTATGGCTTACAGCTCATGAAAACCCCAAATCCACAATCTCAGAAAATGAGAATATTTGTGAAAAGGTGCAATATTCTAGGCTCAAAGTGTCCCTCTCTAATTAGCTAATTAAGCCATAACACCTGCAAAGGGTTCCTGAGCCTTTAAATGGTCTCTCAGTCTGGTTCAGTAGGAATCACAATTATGGGAAAGACTGCTGACCTGACACCATCATGGACACCCTCCATAAGGAGGGAAAGCCTCAAAAGGTAATTGCAAAAGAAGTTGGATGTTCCCAAAGTGCTGTATCAAAGCACATTAATAGAAAGTTATGTGGAAGGGAAAAAGTGTGGAAGAAAAAGGTGCACAAGCAGCATGGATGATCGCAGCCTGGAGAGGATTGTCAGGAAAAGGCCATTCAAAAGTGTTGGGGACTTTCACAAGGAGTGGACTGAGGCTGGAGTCAGTGCATCAAGAGCCACCACACACACAGACGGATCCTGGACATGGGCTTCAAATGTCGTATTCCTCTTGTCAAGCCGCTCCTGAACAACAAACAACGTCAGAAGCGCTTTACCTGGGCTAAAGAAAAACAGACCTGGTCTGTTGCTCAATGGTCCAAAGTCCTCTTTTCTGATGAGAGCAACTTTTGCATCTCATTTGGAAACCAAGGACCCAGAGTATGGAGAAAGAATGGAGAGGCACACACTGCAAGATGCTTGAAGTCCAGTGTGAAGTTTCCACAGTCTGTGTTGATTTGGGGAGCCATATCATCTGCTGGTGTTGGTCCACTGCACTTCATTAAGTCCAGGGTCAATGCAGCCGTTCTTCTAACAAGAGATTTTGGAGCACTTCATGCTTCCTTCCGCAGACGAGCTTTATGGGGATGCTGACTTTATTTTCCAGCAGGACTTGGCACCTGCCCACACTGCCAAAAGCACCAAAACCTGGTTCAATGACCGTGGGATTGCTGAGCTTGATTGGCCAGCAAACTCGCTTGACCTGAACCCCATAAAGAATCTATGGGGCATTGCCAAGAGAAAGATGAGAGACATGAGACCGAACAATGCAGAAGAGCTGAAGGCCGCTATTGAAGCATCCTGGTCTTTCATAACACCTCAGCAGTGCCACACAGGCTAATAGCTTCCATCCAACGCCGCATTGAGGCAGTAATTGCTGCAAAAGGGGCCCAAACCAATTACTCAGTACATATGCATGCTTATACTTTTCAGAGGTCTGATAATGTTCTATGTACAATCCTTGTTTTTATTGATTGCATGTAATATTCTAATTTTCTGAGATTGTGGATTTGAGGTTTTCATGAGCTGTAAGCTATAATCATCACAATTATGACAAATCACGGCTTGAACTATCTTGCTGTGCATGTATTAAGTCTATCTCAGATATTAGTTTCACCTTTTAAGTTGCATTACTGAAATAAATGAACTTTTGCACGATATTCTAATTTTTCGAGTTTCACCTGTATATATATTTCCTTTGTAATTATATGTTTTGTTC